CTCAGCCACTGTCACACAAGCTGCCGGCTCCTGGCGGCTCTCTCAGCTGCCCCTGAGTTCCCTCAGTTTGGGAAAACCCGCTGTGCACCATGCTGGAGCACTCCACTGCAGATCGTGCGGCCCCAGAGCTGCTCACCTCAGCGACTGAGAACAAAGCTGATATGTCAAGAGGCTGTGCCACCATGCTACTAGCAATATGAACCCATACAAAGCACTGTCCCTTTCAGAGTCAACAAGGACAGTCAAGTCACCAGACACTTGACTTGATAGTTTTATGCTGAAAAATTCTACTGTTCGAGGGAGGAGGGAAGCACAGAGAACTGTGAATAAAACCAAAGCCTCAGAGATGGCTTCTCTGAAGCTGCTAAAGTCATCCAGGATAAGAGGTTGAGGATAAAAAAGCAAAAACATAAGCTCAGTTACAGTTAAGTACCATTTTCCTCTACAAACACAGCCTGTCCTTTTATTCCTACAAAGATTACTTTCTGTCTTTTCAATCAATATTCCTTGCAAAAAGATCCAGCTGTCAGTCTCTCTCTGCTGAGGAAGAAATGGATTACGGTGACCACTATCTGACACCAGGCATGATTCTTGTGCTTCTGGTTACTACTTAATCAAAACAAAAACTTGCCTCAAAATTGAAATTTTATCTACAAAACTGAATCACTCGTTGGGTGCTGGTACCCAGGTGATGGCAGCAGGGGGCTGCAGAGGTGGTCTCCATGAGGAGAGGCCAGGGCTAGGGCTGTCCCAGACACATTTCCACCAGCTCTAAGGAGACACCGCAGAGCACAGCTGAGCCCCTCAGGCATGAGTGGGGCGCCTCTGGGAAAACATATTTAAGAAAGAAAGAAAGAAAGAAAAAAAAAAAAAGGTGCAACGGCTATGAGAGAGGAAAATGCAGACACCAAGGCCAGAAAAGGATGGGGAGGAGGTGCTCCGGGTACTGGAGAAGAGACAGCCGTTGGAGAAGACCATGGTGATGCAGATTGTCCCTCTGCAGCTCATGGAGGACCACAGTGGAGCAGAAATCCACGCTGCAGCCCGTGGACATGCCCTGAAGGAAGCTGCAGTCTGTGGAAAGCCCACACAGGAGCAAGCTCCTGGCAGGAGCTGTGGCCTGTGGAGAGGAGCCCAACTAGCAGCAGGTTTTCTGGCAGGAGCTGCAACCCTGTGAGGAACCAACCCACACTGGAGCAGTCTGCTCCTGAAGGACTGTACCCAAGGAAGAGAACGCACACTGGAGCAGTTTGTAGAGGACTGTATCCCATGGGAGTAACCCATGCTGAAGTAGGGGAAAAGTATGAGGAGGAAGGAGTAGCAGAGACAAGGTGTTATGCACTGACCACAACCCCCATTCCCCATCCCCCCGCACTGCTGGGTGGGGAAAGAAGATAGGCCAGGAGTGAAGTTGAGCCTGGGAACAAGCAGTGGGTGGGGTGAAGGTGTGTTTAGGTTTGTTTTTGTTTCTCACCATCCTTTTTTTTTTTTTTTTTGTAATAAATTAATCTTTTCCAAGTTTAATCTGTTTTGCCCATGAGGGTAACTGCTAAGCAATCTCCCTGTCTTTATCATGACCCACAAGGTTTTTTTCTTATTGTGGCTGGATGCCAAGTGCCCACCAAAGCCGCTCTATCACTCCCCTTCTCAACGGGACACGGGAGATGAAATACAACAAAAAAGCTCGTGGGTTGACATAAGGACAGGGAGATCACTCAGCAATTACCGTCATGGGCAAAACAGACTCAACCCAAGGAAAATCAGTTTAATTTATTACCAATGAAAACTGAGTAGGAGAGAAGAGTGAGAATATGTGTAGGGTAATGAGAAATAAAACCAAATCTTAAAACACCTTCCCCCCACCCCTCCCTTCTTCCCAGGCTCAACTTCACTCACGATTTTCTCTACCTCCTTCCCCCAAGCAGCACCAGGGGACGGGGAATGGGGATTGCGGTCAGTTCATCACACATTGTCCCTGCTATTCCTTCCTTCTCAAGGGAGGACTCCGCACACTCTTCCCCTGCTCCAAGCATGGGGTCCCTCCCATGGGAGACAGTCCTCCGTGAACTTCTCCAACGTGGGTCCTTCCCACAGGGCTACAGTTCTCCATGAACTGCTCCAGCGTG